GAGGAAGGGAAGTCTTTATTAAAAGGGTGTAAATTTATCTTTTTTTTTCCTTTATTCTTAGTGCTTTCTTTGTTTCATCTTTAAAATCTTAGTCTATATGTATACACACATGTATAAAAATTATCCATAATGGTGCTATAACCAAAATGGGGAAGCAATCCAATAGCACACATACTAATGAATGGATAAACGAAATCTTACCTATACACATGATGGAATATTATTCACCCTTTTAAAAAAAGGGAATTCTGACACATGCTACAACACAGATGAACTTTGAAGACATTGTGCTAAGTGAAATACAAATACTTATGATTCCACTTAGGTGAGTTTCATAAATGAGCCAAAGTTACAGAGACAGAAAGTAGAATGGTGGTTGCCTGGAGCTGGGTTGAGAATGGGGTATATTGTTTAATGGGTATAGCTTCAGCTCAGGAAGACGAACAGTTCTGGAGCCGGATGGTAGTGTTGGTTGCACAACAATGGGAATGAATGTGCTCAATGTCACTGAACTGTACACTTAAAAATTGTTAAAGTGGTAATGTTCATATTATGTGTATTTTACCACCATTAAAAGTTTTTTTTTTTTTAATTCTAACCCACCCCCAAGATCACAAAGGTTTTCCTCTTACAGTCCCTTCTAAGTACTTGTTTGTTTTACCCTTCCGACTGAGACCTCAATTTGTATGAAATTGATTTCGGGGTTTACTGTAAAATAGCGCTCATAATTTCTTGGATATCATAATTTATGTCCAAGTTGCTGCCTTTCTCTGATGCTGCACATCAAGACATGATCTTTTTCTGGCTCTATTCTGTTTCTTTGTTCTATTTGTCTTGCCTTGTACCAATTAATGCCGTCTTAATTACTTTAACTTTACAATAAATCTCAATATCTGGTAGTGTGAGCCCTCTAGCTTTGTTTTTCTCTTAATAATCTTCCTGATTATTTGGGGTGTATTTGACTTGTTTCCCTTCCACATAAATCTTAGAATTAGGTTGCTAATTTCCATTAAAAAATACGGGATTTTGAATGCTATTGCACTGAAACTGCAGATTAGGAGAAAATGAGGATTTATATTGACTCTTCCAATCCAGGAACATAGTGTATCTCTATTGATTTATGACTTTTAAAAATTTCCCAATAATATTTTGTTATTTTCCATGTAGAGGTCTTGTGTTGGCCGTCTGGTGTCTGCTGTCCACTGGGCCTGCGGATGGAGGGAGCCTCAGGGCAGACTGTATGTGCACCGCCCTAAGGCTGTGCTCCTTCCTGCTCAACTGCTTTAGTCACCACTGTCATTGGTGCCCCCTGTCAGAGGAGGTCCTGGAGGTCCTTGCTGTCAACAGAGGTGACCTCAAGAATGCATATGTACCTTGGCTCCTCCTCTTTCCTTCTTTCCTCTACATTTATGCCTTCTCTGTGCTTCTTAGGATCACCCCCCCTCCCCATCAACCAATCACAGGACCTGTCCCAGGCTCTGCTTTGGGAGAACTCACATAAAGGTCCCACTTGGCAAGTGGAAGTTTGTGAAGGCCTCTTTACTGCTGGGTGCAGACCGAATCCCAGCCCTCTGAGACCTTCCAAATCTCCGTGTGGCATCTGGGGCTCCCCCTGGCCACTCTCTGATTGGCTTCCTGCTTCGAAGCTTCTGTTTACAAATGGTAGAAAGTGATGCCGTATACCAGCTTCTCCTCCACACTTCATTCTCTCCCCAGTGTTGGACCCTCACACCCTGACTGCAGCCTAACTGACCCTTGGCAGCCGTCCAATGCCTTTAAAACCAATTTTAAAAGGTATTTATCTAATGTTTCTAGCTGTCAGCAAGATAGTCATTTTGTTAGAGCTAGACTGCCCTAGCTGGAAGTATAACCTTGGTTGTTTTTTTTTGTTTGTTTTTGGTTTTTTTAATAGAAAAAACTAGGAGTTGCTCATGGTTGTACTGTCCCTGGTTAAGCACACCTCCTCTCAGCCCCAGACACACACCGAGAAGTCCCCACACCTCCCTGTACTTCCTAATTTGTATCAAATGAGCAGCTCTGGAATTTTCTGTGTGTCTTTTTAGTTATAGAAATTAGAGGACGGATGGTAGGTAAGAATCAATAAAGATCTTTCTATTACCTGTCCACGCCGAAACTTGACTGTGTTATTTTGGGATTGATGAAGCCTTCGGTTCCCTGAATCTCCTCTGGTGCCAATGAGGTTGATGACCACGTTAGACCCCGTCTCTGCACCTGGCTTCCTGCCCGTGTACATGTAGATCTCATAAACCACCACTGAAATGTCAGAAATACAATATTATCTTTCTCATTTTTATTTTCTTTCTGAATGTATTAGATATCCCGAAAAACAATCAGAATGTTGCCTAATAGAGCTGACATTAGCTTCTCTGTGGTGGTTGGTCCCAGCTCTTTTCATCATGCAGACCCCACTCAAACAGATTCTCAGCTGTCCCATGTTCACCTTTCATAAGATTCAGCTATTCCCCAAACTAAGGTTTCAAAATAGTTATTTTTAGCAATTATGCACTTTCATTAACCACTATACTTTCACAGTTATTTTGAAAAATTAAACTTAAAAAAAAATACCCTCCCTCTCTTAATTAAATGAAAGTGGCAACTTTCCCCCCAAAGTTTGGCTGTTCTAATCACAGCTGGTCATTCATGCTGCTACTTCACAGAGATCACCACTCCAATAATGGAGATTTGTAATAGCACTCTTGAGAGAGAGAAAAAATACAAAGATATTAGAGAGATATAAATTTAATTTTTTTGAAAAGAGACCAGGGAGGTACCAGCAAATTATAATCCACCATATTTGACCTTAGAATTAAGGCAATTTCTGAGACACTGGTAGAGGTTGCTAATTAGAAAAGAGATTGCTCTTGCTGATACAACTAATATGAATAATATCTTGGACACAATGAGTACTTTTTATTCCAAGTCCTAGAACACTTTATAACTCGTACTCTGTGCAATTGAACAGTTGCATTTATAGAAATTCACATTAACATTTTCCAAAGAACTCAGACATGAAAATCCAACAAGTAAGAAAACAAGGTAAGTGAGAAACATTGCCTGTTTCCATCGTGCCTGACCTTTAAAAAGACAAATGTGGTATACTGGGAAATGGTGTAAGCAGAGAAAATAAATCAGTTTCTTTGAGCAGTCTTACATATTCTAAAATACCCTAGAGTGAAACCCAGCTGAGTTTAAGCAGAAAATTAGAACACTTCTCATGAATTTAGGACAACCAAGGAAATCTTTTAAATTTTCTATAAAGAATATCTAGTCTTACAACCTGGAAAACTGCCTGAACTGAATTAAGCCAAAACTTATGTTAGAATTCTTCATGAAAACAAGTATGTGGACAAACATGATCAGAAGTCTTAATAGGGAAGCCTTGCTTCTGTTTCCTGAGAATTTTTCCATTGTTTCAAAGGAAGAGTGAACTTGTTTACAACTTTAAGAAAAAAATGAAGACATTTAAATGATTAAAACATATCTAAAGTAAAAAAAAAAATTGTCAAAGGTCTAAAAAAAGACATATCAAAAATTATTTAGGACAGAGATCATATACTTAGGTCACAAAGAACAACACTCCGTGCTCCCTCTATCACAACAGACTGTACACATTGTATAACCAACATACCCATTGTCCCATGATCAAATCATGCACCTTGCCTGCTACTTATATGCAACTTAAATATTTCTTAACATTGTATTCCCAGAAGCTGCTATAAATTTAGTACACAAGCACCAAAAAACAAAAACAAAAACAAAACAAAGAATAAAAAACTTGAGATCCAAAATTCAAAGAGAATTAAATGTACTACATATTTGGAACAAAGTGGGTATCACAGTTGAGCACTAAATTCTATCCTCAAAACACATCAAAGAGAGATACATAGTTTGAGTTGGAAATTGAAAGAAAATATATAATCCCACCCAGAGAAACAGACATTTTGCTGAAATCTTTAACACTGACTCAAATTTAATTGTACAGTGTTACATAATTCACTAAGTATTTGCTATAGTTTTTCAACAAAAGCATGTAGTTTTTTTAATGCTAAATTCATAACAATAGATCAATACAAAATTCTTCCTTTAATGTAAAGGAAGGGAGAATTTAAAGAATACCTGGTTAGCATGTTCCTTAGATGCACTCTAAAATATTATGTGTTTTAAACAAGTCTTAGCAAGTGAAGATCTCAGAGAATTCTTTGTTCAGTCTCTCTCCTTGGGCATGAAAGTCAGGTCTCAGGGTTGTTGATTCAAAGGCAGGACCATATGTTCTAGCTAAAAGACTGTCATTGTTGTAAAAATGTGGAAGGCTAACAGATTATCTCTATTCTAAGAGAGGGACCCCCCACACACACACTCAGGGAGGTGAAATCCTAAGTGAGAGCAGTAGTAAGTTAAAAATGTGAGTTAGAAGAAAATTTATAATTGTCTCAAATACTTGAAAAATTCAAGGCTGGGTTTCTAGACCTGGATGTTATACAGAATGGAAGAGATCATTTTACTTAAACATATTCAAAGACAAATATTACTAATCAATCATTCTGGCTGCAAGTAACTATTCTTAAAGCACCAGATTTTAAGTAGTTATTAATATACATCTTCAACCATGATTTAGCTGAAAGTATTCAAAGAGTTAACTTGTTGCTTTAGGTTATCCATAAATATTGGACATTTTTGCCTCCAATTTTCTAATGTTCTTTTTACCATAGTTGGTGCTAAATTTTTCTTTCAGGTCATTAGTCAGGAGCCTCAGCTGCTGTGAGCCTTACTCACTCAGATAAAGTCTGCCATAAGCACCCAATAATAACATTGCTTGTCTGCCTGTTTGCCACAACTGTCATCCAATTCAGTTCCTAGCTAAACTATATATTTTCACCATGGGGTGGCATTTGTTTCACTTGTGTTCTCAATGTCATCACCTTCGACTCTCTCATTCTTATATTTACCCACACTTACAGTCATTTCAAAACTTTTCCCCTCTTTCAAGGAAGGCATAGCACGCGTATCACTGTCAAAGCTCAGCATTCTTTGGGCCGACAGACTTGTGGGCTACATAGTAAGATTTAACATCACCTCATTAGTGACACAAAAATCCAGTTTTCACCTGCAGTTTGGTTTTTTTCCCCTCTCAGACATCATTTTAGGCCAGAATCTCCTAAGTGTTTGTAAATGATGATTTAACAGCATCAACTCCAAGCATTAACATCTCTGTAAATAGTATCCTTAAGATTTCCTTATAAGAAATCTTAGATTCTTTTGTCTCTGCTTACTACAGAAAGCATAGGGTTAAAAATATATATATTTGCTCTTCATAGGGGTAGATAGATAGATAGATAGATAGATGATAGATAGATATAGATATATAGATATATAATTTCTTAGCCACAAGGGTATATTAAAAATGTCACATGGCTGGGAAGTGGGCTGAAATAAATTCCTCAAATGTGATTTTTCGAGTTTAGGAGAGGAAAAAAAAAGCCACGGTAGGACATGTGTTTCCTTTGGTAGACAAGCAAGGAGGTGATACCTAAAGAGGGAGTAGAATGAGATGCCTCAGGGATAGCCATACCAAGGGACCTCTTCACATCTGAGGGTGACATCCAGGAACTGAGGGTGACATGGAGTAAGGATGCGAGCAGAATCAGAATTCTAAATTGACCAATTTTTTACCAAAAGAAACTAAGCGTTATATTGGAAGTGACTGAGCTTATTTTGAGTTACAACAATTAAGATTTCCATCACCCATGGAAATAGGGGCTTGGATTATTTTTACATCAGGTTTGTAAATAGGATTTACATGTGGCAAAATTCACTCGTTTAAGGTTTGATTAGTTTTGGGAACTGTGTAAACTTTGTTTACAAGTCCTATAACTACCACTACCATCTAGACAGAGAATATTTTTATCATCCCAAGAAGTTTCTCTAGGAAGGGTATGATTCTAATTAGCTATGAAGGGTGAAACATGTAATATTTTTGCAGCCCTCAGAGTCATTGATTGTGAAGACTCAAATCCATGACGTGATGATAAAAACAATGCAGAAGGAATAACCTGGAGGGTATCCAGAAAGATCGTCTCATACCTATACCTGTCTGATTTTTGAATGAACATGTAAAGAAATTAAATCCAATTAACTATTTATAAAATATATTATATTTGGTACAGTCCTGTAACTTTAATTATATTTGAATTACATTTGAAAGATCACCTTCTTAATATTTTATCGTGCCTAGAAGTTTTCATTCCCTTGGTAGCCCATTTCTTTTTTTTTTTTTAAGATTTTATTTATTTATTTTACAGAGAGAGATCACAAGCAGGCAGAGAGGCAGGCAGAGAGAGAGAGGAGGAAGCAGGCTCCCCGCTGAGCAAAGAGCCCAATGCGGGGCTCGATCCCAGGACCCTGAGATCATGACCTGAGCCGAAGGCAGCGGCTTAACCCACTGAGCCACCCAGGCACCCCTTGGTAGCCCATTTCTTGATTACCCAAGGTACCATATACTCAAGGTATATGGTGATGAGGAAGCCTTTTCACAAAGCTACTGGAATGGAATGTTTTAAATATTTAGACACCAGAAGGTTATTTGCAGAACTGAATGGAGTCCATAGGGTCATGGAGGGCCAGTATATGGTTCAGAAGGAAAGGACCACCACTAATCCCATTTAAGATGTCATATTGAACTGAAAAGTACTGATGACCAAGCAAAGTCAGCCCTGGAAGTAAATATGGAAAGTAACAGGCTGCTGCCTTATACCACAGTACCACATTCTAGCATTAGAATGTCATAATAAAATAGTGGAACCAGGACATTTTCCTCCTACATTAAAACAGCTACTGCCAGAGAAATAGCCTAAAGGGAAGCAATCTTCTCAATTTAGGATGATTTTGAATAAATTGTTGAAGAATATTTGGGGATTCTGCTATGAAAGTCACCTGAGATCATCGATGGTTTATGGAGCAGTTGGCAGCTTTCACAGATTTGTCTGTAGTCCAAGCCATGGTCTGCCCTCAAGCCAAACACACCAAACGCACCACCACCACCCCCAGAGTGCACATACCTGCATAATGGGCATCTTGGTCTCCCCTCCTAAATCTCACATGCTGGAAGTGCAGGGCTCACATCTTTTTCAGTTCTGAATCCCCAGCTCTTAGTACATGTAAATGTTTACTAAAGAATGCTGAATAAATGAATGCTTACCAATCCACCATCTATCAGAAAATGTTGTGTAATGATCTCTCTTGGTTGCCCTCAAAAC